TTTACAAATCCCCCCCTTACAAAAAAAAAAAAAAAAAAAAAAAGAAAAGGAGAACGAGCAAACAGCGTAAGGAACCGTTTTCCTCCTCGCCCCGGTGGCCGGGAAAGGGCTTTGGATTGTGCCCCGCACCGAGGGGGCTGCTACCAGCTCCGCTCCCCCTGGCACCGCCACCTCCCGCCGGGCTCCGCGGGGGCCCATCCGCATCCGCGCTTCGCCCCCCCCCCCACCTCCAGTCTCCGCCACCGCCCGCACTTACCGCCCCGCTCCTCCGCGCTGCTCCGCGCCGCTCCGCGGGGGAAGGGGACCCCGGGAGCCCGGAGGGAGGGAGGAGGGGCCGGAGCGCCGCGGCGGGGCTGACCCGACGGCGCGGGCTGTTTGGCCAAGCGGAACGCGGGGGCTCGCCCCGCACCGCGCCCCGCACCGCGCCCCGCACCACACCCGGCCCGGCCCGTGCGGGGAGCCGAGTGCCCGCCGCCCCCGGGGCTGGAGACGGGGAAAGGATCGACAATGGGCTGTTCCTTGAGGCTCCCGGGGAGGGGAAAAGCCTGCGTCCCCCCGGGGGGGGTGTCCCCTGAAGAAGGAGGAAGCCGAGCCCCACCCCCGCCGTGGGGCAGAGGTGCCCCAGCGCCTGCCTTTGCCCAGGCTGAGCCCCCTCGCCCCATCGAGGGTGGCTTCCAAGAGGTGCCAAGAAGGGGTTTTGATTCCCCTCCCGTGCCATCGCTGCTTTGCCCCAAACTCACCTCGCCCGGAGCCACCGCGGAAGCGTTTTGGCGATTTTTTGGTCCTAATCTTTACATCGAGCGCGTCCAGTTGTTAACGTTTATGTGAGAATAGGGGCTGTTTATAGAAAGCCATCCTGGTATGAATTAGAGACAAGCCCCTGGGAAGAGCAAAGTGACTGCAGCACTATGTCATCGAGAAAACATCCCTCAGAGGGGCTCAGGGATAACTGGGGGTGCCTTCCCCCCGCCAGGGACGTGCCTGACAGCACAGGGGGCTCGCTCCGGCGCCCTGGCTCCATCTTGCCCTGGATGGGGATCTCGGGGACATCCTTTGGGGGCACCAGGCTCAGCTCACCTTGCATTTCTACCCCGGAAACAGCACAAGTTGTTTCCAGCCCAACAGCTCTGCAGCAGGCCCCTGGGGCAGGCAGCGAGGGGGGACCCAGTTGGGCTATTTCACCTTGCCAAGCTCCTCCATCTTCTCGGGCATTTAGTTATGGTGGGAAGGGACCGACCAGACACCTGGACAGGAAGGGACCGACCAGATACCTGGGTGATGGACGTAGCAGAGTACCCACAGTCTGGCTGCTGGCTTTGCCTTTCCCAGCAACCAAGGGATGGAGCAGCATCTGCTGCTGCGGTCAGAGGTGGTGGCTCCCCTGAGCACCTGGTCACCTTCTCCTATCACTACCACCCTGAGGAAGAGGTCCCTCGCCATGGCCTCCTCCTCCTCCCATGCTCTCCTCTCCTCCCTGTAGCAAACGCAGCTCAGCCCAGTCCACAACAGTAAAAACACAACATTATCAGTGAAATTTTGGGGCTGCCTCTGGCTCTCAGCAGCTCCCGCTCACAGGCAAGTCTGAGGTCCACACAGACCAAACGTGCATACGATTACGGAGAAGTAGCAGTGCAAGAATTCCCATTTCTGAGTAATGTGGTGTCCTGCCTCCGACACAGCCCACGCTTGGGGAAGTGGGACGGTCTCGTTGTGCCGTGTTGCTGTGAGGGGGTCTGCTGCTGGACACCCTCTGGGCTAGGCCAACTGTACAAAATTGTTGTGTAACTTTAGCCAGAGAGAAAAACACTATTTACTTTGTGAGGAAACAATCAACCCTCTAAAAATGATCCTACACAGCCTTCAGTTTCACCCGCAGGAAAAAAGGAAGCATAGAGACAGCTGAGGACTCCAGCTTCTCTCCACCTCTGCGGAGACCTGATGTGATGTGGTGGCTGCTGCTCTGAAGGTCGTGTTTGCAGGCTCCTGGAATCATCTGGTGGCAGCCCATGCGTGCCGCTTGCTGTCACCCAGCTGTGCCATGAGCAGATGGGAAGCAGTGGAGCCAGCGGTGATGCTTCATCTGGGCTTTGCAGGTGAGGCTCGTGGCTGATGCTGGGAGGGAGCCCATGCCTGCCAGCTCCACACCACAGGGTCCGAGCCGTGTGTGTTTGAGGAACCCCAGGAGAGATCACTGGCGTTGATCTCTGATAAAACTAAAATAGGAATTACAGGAGACTCCTGAAATCACTCCAGCAGCTTTTGCTGTTGAAGCCATGATGGCCTCAGCAAGGCCAGGTCTGTGGTAGGGGTATGATCTCTCATCAGACCAGTTGATGCACATGGAGAACAGCTAAGAAGCTTTCGGGCACACAGATCCTTCCTCAGGTCTAGGAGGGGGACACAAGCTGCACCCATGATTGTTAGATCTTCAACTTGAGGTTTCCTCTCCCTGAAACACCCCTTGACTGTTATCACCATTTTTGTTCCACCAACACGCCCAGCACGGGCAGAGGCAGCAGGAGAGCCCAACAACCCAACGTGTTAAAGACAGAGGTTAAAAATCCTTGTCACCACTTTCACAGCAGCGTTTCCAATGCCATTGCTATGCCCAGAGCTGAACGTGTATCCATGGGGGGGACTTCAGGAGGAAACAACCACTGACTTGGTGTTTGTTGGGGCACCTTTGGGAGGGGAAAGGCAGGTTGTGCACAGGGTCTCAGTCCCATGTCCAGCAGCTGAGGACTGAGCTGATGGAGAGCAATGGCACTGTCAGAGGGGGTAACTGTGACACAGACTGTCCCCTGCTCCACTGATGTTTCCTGACGTGTATCACTGGGACAAATCAATTCATCCCCCTACGGATCATTGTAAAACAGCAATAACTGAGGCACCACAGCCCCAGAGGGCCGTAGAGGATAGAAACTCCTCAGCACAGCAGAGCAAAACGGCTGTTAAAACCTGCCAGCTCAGCTCTGCTGTGCCTCACCACGACACTGCTCACCTGGGGAAACCCAGAAAGTCCTAAACCTCACTTCAGGTTAGGACTCCAATGTAGTTGGGACTCCTGCGGGGTTGGAGCCCTACGCTGGTGGCCTGTCCTCAATGCTTTCACTCAATTTGCCTGAGTAAAAAATACTCAGAGTAACTTTTTTAACCTTATAAGATCACTTAAAATATTTGGCTTTGGCTTCAAGTGACACAGAAGAAGTAATACATCTAGGATGTCATGAAGTGAAGCTAAACGGAATTATCCATCATTTCTGAATGAAAGAAAACTGACAAAATACATAGTTTGGGGACTGAGAGGGTAAGGCAGGCCGTGTGAACCCACACAAGATGCAGAGCGGCCCCCATCATTGGTGGGATTAGCACAAACCCACCCGGGGACTCCCTTTGGAGAGCGAAGCCAACGCTGTGGAAGCCTGACTTAAGAGAAAAAACGTTCCTTTGGGCTTTCTTTCAGCCGTTTTTTTGCATCTCAAACAGTGCTGACACCCTGAGCAATGCAGTGGGCTCCCAAGGGGAGAGGGGCAGCACTGCCTCCTGCCAAGAGCCAGGCAGGAAACCTGGACACCCAGAGAGCCCTCGGCACATGGTGGGGTTAAACCTGGAGAATTTGACCCACTTAGAAGCAACGGGAGCTTTTCCAAATGAAAGCCCCAAAGAAGAGGAACCAAATCAGGAGAGAGAAAATGTGACATTTCAGAATTCCAGAGCTGACACAAAAAAGTCTTTAGTGTTTCCTAAGCAGTAATTTCCTAATTGCAGGCCAGTGGGAACCACACCACCAGTATCCTCGATGACTTTTTTTTCCTGCCACGGTGAATTGTAGGAACCCTTTTGCCACATCTGTTGCGTGACTCTCTTCCACATGGCTAAAGCCCTGCTACTTGGGATGAATAACCACGGAGCAGAACTGAACAATTGTCAAGTGTGGGCAGATTCAGACTGAAGTATTTTCTCACATATCCTCATCCAACCACAGTTTTTTGGAATTTGGGGAGATGTCACAAAGCAACAGAAAACAATGCCCCCTTGGCCAAAGCCAGGCCGTTCAACAGCGTGCCTTTTACTGCAGCATACAGTTGAGAAACATAAGAAATATATAGCTCACACAGGAGAAGCTTTTAGCAGACGTTGCTGCCTTGAAATACCAGAGTGTCAATATTCCAACACATTTCAAACAAGAGAAAAATTGCGCAATTTATAGACTAGCCCAATCCAAACAAATCAATTGCAATATGTGCCTGCTCTGAAGCCAGGGGAGAAAAGCTCAGACTGCTCTGGAGATTTCTGATCACTGGGACTCGCAAAGATTTGCCGTGACCTGCATGGTTGAACTCTCAACAGAGGAAAGTTAAAGGAACCGCTTACAAGGGAAGATTCCTGCAGTGCTGGATGAATGCAGCCTGAGAATTACCTACTTGGGCACTTTAGGAGGAAAACAGCATCACCCTTTCTTTATCATCGGCCAGTTTTTCTGCAGGTATTTGGTCAAATTCAATACTCTGCTATAGCCATTGGGTGCCCTTGGAGAAAATGAAGTTGTATATGTCAAAGAGAGTAAAGCATAATTTTCTGAGCAAGGAGCAAGTGTGCCCTACAGTCACTTGCTGTTAATTTAACGTAGTGACAAACCAAGAGCACTCATAAGCAGCATTTGATAAGGTATTCTTTCAGATTCTGGTATTTTACTGCAAGCGTCTGAGAAATGTACCCAGATCCAAGATCAAAGGGCTCCCCAAGACAAACAGCAGGAAAACGACCTTCATCTTGGAACTTGACTTGAAACTATTCCCCGTTCTCAACCCTTTTCACCACCAATCAGCACACAGAGGAAAGCATGGCTCTCAGAAATCAGCACTCTGATGCCAGCAAACATCACCTCGTTGTTGAGCTTTTGGACTGGAAACGCCGCTCCCCTGCCAAGGCGAGCTCTTCCTTTACTCCACAGCCATGGAAACAGGTACAACATGCCCTCTTCCAGGGCTTGTTACCTTCATTTCTGTCGCACGTAAAGTTCCCAAGAAACCCTAGCTGAGCAGGTGGGACACACCTGAGTTTTGACTGATTTCTGGCTCAGATCTGACATCCACCCCAATGTGCCATGAGCAGGTGGAGTTGCGTTTTTCCCCAGTCAACTCTGCTGGCATCTCCCATCTCCTCCCAGCCATCCCAGTTCCTCTCACAGGATCTTCTGTACCTGAACATTTTGAGACTAAGGAAGCTGAGGAGGCAAATGAAACGACGGGTTTCAAAAAAGCAAACAACAAAAAGAAAGTGTTTGGTATTGACCTTCAAAGTCTTCAAAAATCGGATGATCTTTAGCTCTTTTCGTGGTGGATGAGCTGACTAGTGCAGGCTGTTAAAATGCATTTCAGATTCGCTGCCACACATTGCATGTAGGTTGTAAACAAACCAAAACCAATACCCAA